TGGCAAGCTCCTTCGCCAGCATCTTGCAAAGCTTGCGAACTGCGGCCAGCTTGTCTTCATAATTCTCTGGGTGCGTCACAAGCTCAAGAACTGCCAAGGCACTGCAAGTCTGAGATGCCTCTTTACGGCCGTCCTTGTCACGTGCACTTGGCAAGTTTTGTCAATAACTGACATCATCATTACTAATCAGTCATGACTCATAATTTCTGAAAATTGAATTTGTCAGTCTAGTCTAGTCTCTAGTTTTTTCATTAATTAAACAAGACAATGCAAACATTGCCCTAACCAGTCTGAACCTGATGCCACAAGCTTTTGCTCAGTCCAGTCCTCCAAGGTCGTCATAGTCTTGATGATACTTCCTCGGAGGGGATCATCTTTCCAGCCATCAAATTTCTGGATGTTGGTCAAGGTGCGCAAGAACTCCTCGACAATCTGGCTGTCACGGCGCCAGTCAAGAATGTTCTCAACATGCTTCTCCAACGTTTGCTGATCAGCCAACAATGGGTTGATGACATCCAGCTCCCATGTCTCCACTGCTGTCAGCACGGGCCTGTGAATGAATATGAATGTGAAATGAGGGGCAAAGGAAATCTGAATAATGGACCTGGATACATAAACGCCACATGAAGGAATGAATTGTGAATTAATGACTGACTGAATGAATGAATCAATGAATCCTGAATGGAAGAATGAACCTGAATCTGGATGTACAAGTGAAGGGCCGTATCAATGAATCTGAGTCTGAGTGTTATTGAACCAATGAATCAACGAAGTGATGTGATGATGTGTCCAAATTGAAATGCTTGAATCAAGTCTGTAACAATAACAATATTCCAATTCCAACCAATGTACAGGGGAAATGCCAAATGCTCAAAAGCATGTAACATACTGCAATACCACTTGCCAAAAGAATTTAATGTGGAGTCGAGCCTGAGCCTCTCCAACAGTGGTTTCACCTTAATGAAGTGGTCCAAGCTCATGCCAATCACCTTTTCAATGGCATTCACAACTGACGCATGGAAATCCTTCACGTTCTGGACAATCTCTGCAGCATAGAACTCTTCAATCATGCCCGTCTGCAGGGACAACACTGACATCCACTTCTTCACTGGACGCATCAGATGTGGCAGCTCTTTGTCCAGGTCTGAGAGTGGTGGGTCGTCGATTGGCTTCAAATCCTCAAGGATGTGGTGATTTTTGGCCAGGTTCAATATGGGCTGCAACTCACCAGGCACAAACTTGCATCTCTCACAAACCTCGTCTGGACCACCGGATTGCCAAGCACTTGAAGCCCAAGACTTCCCACACTTGACCGTTGCATCCTGCAGTCGCTTGCAGGCTGATTGTGCAGAAGCAAGCCAGTCTGGGTTCAATGCAATCACGGCCTTCGAAGTCAACTGAGTGCTCATGTTTGCGAAGAGAGAGCACGCTGCGTCAAAGGGGGGGTCCTCCTGTTCAGGGCAAAGGCTGTGGTACTCCACAAAGGACTGCAAGAGTATCGTTTGGATGGCTTTGCCCTTGGTGGTGTCATCTGCTGTGAAGAGTCGGCTGGCCACGGCCCCTCAAGGGTGGATTGGCGGACCAACTTTCAAGAAACACACATGAATAGCGGACCTGACTTGATGACTTGATTTGCAAAAAGATGCAACTTACAGACTTACAGACACTTACTGTAGAGCACAAAGGAAAGTCCTAGGATGTTGTACAGTAGTGGCCTTCAATGACTGCTGCCTTCATGGCTGCCATCTCTGTCTCATTGATCTTGACCTCAACGGTTCCGTGGCACATGTTGTCCAGCATCTCTGTGAAGTTGAATGTGCCCCACTTGCAATCAGACAGAAAGCTTTGAATCCTGCCAACTGTTTCCTGCAGCTCATTCTTCAGCTGCTGAGCTCCATCTTGCGAGGAAGCCTCCAGCCCACGTATGACAGATGGGACAGAGGAGCACTTTTCAATCATGGCAATGGTTTTGTCCACGTTCAAGTCCTTCTCTTTGTCCTTCTGGTCATGCAAGAAGGCGTCCAACTTCGAAAGCAGGTCCTCAAGGACATGGCCTAGAAAAGACAATCCGATGGCAAGGTCACAAGTTTCATGCGTTAGACTTATGGCAACCATGTCATGCCATGTTCAACTAACAAGATACGGCCTTTTTATATAAACCGTCCCACTGCCAGTCATGTCATTCACCAACTAGCACTTGTGGCGTCTCTTAATGGCCTGAATCACGTCAACATCATCCTCACTGACTGTCACCTTCAGCGACACAGGCTTGAGCCAGCCAAGCATGGACCTTTTAGGCATTCCAGGCACGTCGCATGGAAGGGGCCGTTCAAACATAATTCGGTTCCTCACATGCCAACCGTAGAGAGGCTTCTTGAAATTCCAGTGTGTCCCTGAAGCATCACACAAGATGTCCATGTCCACAATCCTGTGCTCACCAGCATCTCGAATGAGGTCATCACGCGCCGAATAGATGGTTTCCTCCTCATAGAACTCCACCAGGCCACTGACTTCCGTCACGTCACGCGGAGACCCCTTGGTTTGGATTATGTACATGACCTTGGACATTCCATGGGTAGAGTTGGAGTATTTGCGTATCTCGATAGTCTTGGTCCCATCCACCAGCAGGCATGTTGAGACCTTTGAAGCTCAGCTCGACCTCCACACCCAGCCCTGGCAACTCCAGCGTCGTGCTTAAGGAGGTACCATCATGATCAGAAGGGGCATCATGGGCATGGTCATCATGTTCACCATGAGCTTCATGGGCGAGACATAGAACTTGCTGGGCGCTTCATGACACAAGTCAAGTCTTGGAGCTATTCAAATGTCAACACCTTTGCTTGAGCAAACTATTCTCATGACTCATGACCATTTACCAGACTAAGAAGTCGTGGTCCTCTGTCACTACCATCATGCTTTTACCAGCTAGGAAGTAGGTACAAGCATGCCAAGCAGTTGCAACATGCGCAATAGTTGATTTAAGATTTATACCCCCCTACCAAAAGATAGCACATCCAAACTCGAGAGATAAGATGGCAAACCAGGGGAAAAATGTCCCAAATCAAAAAAATCAAAAAAATAGGGAAAAGTTGCAACAAGGCACAAAAAGCGCCTGATCCCTTCGACCGGTTTGATTGCACATCAAAGCTCGGTAGTTAAGATGGCAAACCAGTGAAATATATGTTCAAAATGAAGAAAATCAAAAAACCCAGCAAAAATTGCAAAAAAGGCAGCAACACGGTCTTTTTCCCACGGCTCTCACCTGCCCCCCTATTATATATACTTCCCCTCTCCTGCGCGTCTCTTCCTCTTTCCTTTGTCTCTTATCTTCTACTGTCCCTCTTTCTTCCTGTATATCTGTCCTATTTCTTTTCCTTGCCTTGTTCTTTCCTCTCTTCTGGTTCCTCTTTCATGGGAACCTGCTATATCTTCTTCATTCGTTTTCTCCCCTCCCCCCTGACAACCTCCCCTCTCATCACCTGGCATGTGCCATCTTAGTGGCTCCACTCATCCCAGCTCTCCCACCTGCCCCACCCCTCTTATTTATCCTTCCCCTCTCCTGCGCGTCTCTTCCTCTTTTTCCTCTTTCCTTTGTCTCTTATCCTCTACTGTCCCTCTTTCTTCCTGTATATCTGTCCTATTTCTTTTCCTTGCCTTGTTCTTTCCTCTCTTCTGGTTCCTCTTTCATTTGAACCTGCAATATCTTCTTTCATTTGTTTTCTCCCTTCCCGCCTGACAGCCTCCCCCTCTCATCACCTGGCATGTGCCATCTTAGTGGCTCCAATCATCCCAGCTCTCCCACCTGCGCCACCCCTCTTATATATCCTCTGATTCCTCTTTGATTTGAACCTGCTATGTCTCCCGCATGCCATCAATGGGCTCGGTGTGTCATGCCTAAATACATCATGATTGATATCGCAAATTCAATGCATATATGATGGCACACACAAAAGATACGTCTGAGTGTATATGATGGCTCCTCACAATGTGCCATCTATACGGTCAGAAGCCCTTTCATATGCCGCTCCGCAGGAAAAAGTAGCATATGGAGCACTTTTACTTGCGCCATCTTTTGGTAGGGGGGTATATTGCAGTGTGACTAATTTTAAAAACTGAATCCAACACACCATGGCCCCCACAAAGCACTGGGCAACCTCCGGCCTCAGCAACGAATGCCGCTTCAAGCTGCCAAACATCTTTTGCAATGTCGGTATGTCAAGTGTTTAGTAACACACAAATACATGTCAGGTGATTTTTAACACATACACATGTCAAGTGTTTAGTAACACAAATACATGTCACAACTGTTTTTTTAACACAGACACATTAGGTAGTGCTTTGGCCTGTTTGTGTGTTCTGACCCCCCCCTTACTCCTGACGCTATATATGAATCCTGGGGACGCTATTTATAAATCCTGGGGAAACTATTTCTCAGGGGTTCAAGAACTTCACACAGCCAGACCATTGCAGCAGCCTGAAAAATTGGGGGATGACACACCTGACAAAATGGTTTGTTTTTGTAATGCAAGCAATCTACAGAGCAAAACACAAAGATTTGCTCTCTCTCTTTCTCTCTCTCCATTGTTTTCTCCACATCAGACGCCTTAACGGTTTGTTTGTTTCATTGCTGGGGCCAGCTTTCACTGTCCAGTCGTCCTGTATCCTTGGCTACCGGCTTTGCCCTCACCAAAAACCAACCAAGGCCACAGTCATAGGGCATCATCAAAATTTGCCCAGCTTAGTGGCACTACATACAGATTCTACTGTTTTGGCTTCCTCTTGGGAGCTGCCCTGGCTTTCTTGGCTGCCTTCTTTGTCCTGGGCTGAGCTGGGAGTTGTCTGCAACTGGGACCAAAAAAAACATTGCCCTCCCTGAATGGAAGCAGTCATAAAGGGTGATGGAATCTTGGGTCTAGTCGGTCTAGTGTGATAAACAAATCACCGTGTGTGAACCTATAACCTAAAGCATCCTAAAACCCTCACTTCAACCTGCCTTAGCTGAATCCTGGAATCCTTGTCACTTGTCTTTGAGTTGGAGTTTTTGAGTAGCGTCTACAGAGTAATAGTCTCAGTCTGATAAATAAAGTACAGTTATATACAGTCTCAGTAGTAGTCTTAGTTTGTATTGGGTATTCTTCGGAAAAACACGCACACACAAAATCTGATCCAAATTCAACTGCAGAAAGAATAAAGGAGCTTGGCTTTGCCAAAGCAATTCAATACAAACACTGTTTGTTATTTTGGACATGCCAGCTGACTGAGTCACTCTGGCGCTTCCGGATCATCCTGCTTCTGAAATGCCTCGAGCTTTGCTGAAAGCTGGGGATGGAGATCTGCTCGTGTCATGGCAAGCTCCTTCGCCAGCATCTTGCAAAGCTTGCGAACTGCGGCCAGCTTGTCTTCATAATTCTCTGGGTGCGTCACAAGCTCAAGAACTGCCAAGGCACTGCAAGTCTGAGATGCCTCTTTACGGCCGTCCTTGTCACGTGCACTTGGCAAGTTTTGTCAATAACTGACATCATCATTACTAATCAGTCAT